CACGCATTGGTCATATTCTCACCTAGTAAAGAAATCGTACGCATGCACAGTCAACACCAAGTACGCATTTCGTGCTTGACGTTTGTGAGTGTTTCAAGCTCTTACCAATTCGTGTTCGTAAGACAAGTGACGTCTTCTGCCAGAAGGGGCGACGACTCTCCGAGGTCTTTGTGGGGATCAGCTTGATGGTCGGGCGTATCTTACGGAATAAATACTAATTGTTTTGGTCGGTAAAACATTTCTCTTTCAAAGCTAGACAAATTCGCGGGTACCACGAACAACAGTTCTGAAGAAGATGTACCACACCCGTCGTCCGCCGCCATCGCTTAGTCTTCGTCGTCCAGCCGTCGAGCCCGCGACACCCGAGCTGCTCCCGCGATCCGACGTCATGTTGAGAATTACGCAGTGCGCGTGCTTTCGACAATCTGCAAGTTTTTAAGGGCGAAGCTCCTTAGGGTCTAGCCTTGTCCGTCCATCCGTCCGTCCGGCCGGCCGGCGTCCGTGCTCACATAAAAAGAAAAAAAAATGTTTGCGCAGTCGACAGGAGTCGAACCTGTGCGGGGAGACCGCAATCAATTTCTAGTCAATCGCTTTAACCACTCGGCCACGAATGCGGTACGAGCGCGGGCTCTGGGATGTGGGAGGAACTCAAGAGCTGGGGATGTCATGGATTAAACGTTGCATGTAGCCGCTCAACGTCTATACAGGAGAGGGCGCTGTGGTCAAATGCTCAAATGCGTATATAACCACGTTCCATACCACACATTTTCTTTATGACATGGACCGTTGACTTAAGCGGTGGAGATGCGTTCCCACGGCTTCTAGCGGATCCAAGTTAATTCGCTAGAAGAACCACTGGCTCTGCATTTCACCGACCATAAAGCAGTACTAATGAAGTCGAAATGCAACCCGGAACTCAGCACTACCTATGAGCAATAAAATCAGTATCATCAGCACCACCAGAGCTTCGCCCCAATCAACATCATTCACCACGTGGAGATGCGGTCTTTTTTTAGAGCGCAGCTCTGAGGCGCCCGTTTCCGGGTTGAGCGTCGTCGCCGTCGGCGTAACCGCGCGTTGCATTATGGAACGTTTGCCATAATGACGTCACACGTGACGTCACGAGGGTCACGAGTGGCGTCACCCTCGTGACGTCACACGGGCATACCCTCTCCTCTCCTCCCCTCCTCCTCCTCAAGAGCTGCCCTCTAATTCGGCATTATAGAGAATTGTAAACGTCTTTCGTTTTTTTTAATCAACATATTTGCAGCTTTTAGAAGCCACAAAAATGGTTTTTATATTTTAAAAATTTTTGATACTGGGTGTGTGCCTTCGATGACCCAGAACTTTGATTATACTTGGTGGTTGTGTCTTCACCCGCGCGTGACCATGGAAAAGAAACTGAGCGCGAGTCAAACCGTCCAGTTTTCTATTGGCGGTTTTCGGGAGGAAAAGAAAAACTGCATTTTGAGACGCAAATTGTGTTTTTGGGTAGTTCGGCTCTTATATGTCATGTACAAATAAGAACCTTGGCGAGCATAAATACCCTGTCAGTGTCTCTTTATCCTGCAACACGCAGTAGCGATACACGACTGCACGTACGCCATCACAAATATACACATATGTAGTATTTGCTTGTGCTAATTTGAGACTATAACAAATACTGCTGTATTTTCATAATTTTCTTCCTGCGGAAACATTACGTTTTACCAAAGTCCCATTGCAGCCGACGTTACCAGCTGATAGGACCAATCAAGTGTTGAAAATTAAAACGTACTAATGGCGTTCTTGGACTTCTTTGTGCAAGCTATTACCAGCTGGTCCAATCAATCGCAGAGTGCATCGGCGACCTTGCGCGCTCAGTGTGCGCGCGTGTATTTGCGTAGCGACTTCCAAGCTCCAGCTTAGTACAGCGCTCTGACCTATGCAAAAAGGAGTCATAGATGCAAGTGTGCGATAATGGAACTTAAACTAATTTTTGGACTTTTCCAGTTATTTCCTAAAACCTTAAATACAATAAAATATACAATACACGCGTGTTCAGCGTAGCAGTTCACTAAAACTTGTAAGAGCGCCCGAAATGTCAACAAATCACTTGGAACTATTTTGTTAGGGTTTACACATGGGACCATTCTCTGCGGCACCATTTTGTCCGGGACCATTATGCCCGGGACAATTTTGTCTCGCACTCCTGGGACACACAAAAGACGGTCTGAGTATGAGCGGAGTTCTTCCTTCCCCTCATCTAGAGCCGCTTGGGTTGGAGGAGAGGGGAAAACGGAACTCCCCTCTACGTTTTTTTATGCGTGTGTTTTGACCCTGATCCGTTATTATGGACGATTTTTCTGGAGAACGGAGGCGTTCATATCAACAAGACATGACTGTATAGTATACAAGGTCGACAACGCCTGGTTCAACAACTTTAAATAAAAATAAAATATCCCTTTCAAAATGACGTTACTGACTCCGGCAAATATTAAGTTACAAGTGTAATGTAACAATTAAGAAATTATTTATCTAAATTCACAAATTAACTTGAGACATATTTGCCCTAGCTGGCATATTCCAGAAAAAAAAGAGATTGGTGTATGGCAATCGCCTTCATTTCGTCTTATTGCTCATCCGATTCGATCGCCGCATAGAAAGAGGACTGCGGCTAACACAACATTGTGGAGTTTACAAAAAACAATACATTGCAGTGGAGAAATCACCGGGATACATTCATGACAGTAAAACCGGTTTAGCTCCCTTGAGTTGTTCGAAAAGTTATTGTGAAGAAAACGCCTGACTATAACAACATCGCCATTTCTGATCCAATCACTCATGCGCGCGAACCGCCACAGTTTAAGTGCACTGAGGCTTTATGTCATGTTATATTCCTCTGACTACAGACCTCTCAAGACGAAAACCCTCGCATTGAACTCACAGCCTCGACGGAAACTGTTTCGTGCAGTAGCCCCCAATATTTTGAGAAATTCGATAGAGAGATATATTGCGAAATACTCACCACAGACGTTTGCAAGTAACGCTTCCGGGCACCACCATCTTGCTGTTGGCGTCTGCAGAGAGTTGGATAGTCAAACCTTGCCAAAGTTACTTATCAGCTCAGCTGTGAAACTCTCATGGAGAGGTTCTTCCCCTCAAGCTATCTGAAAAGCCAGCTATAGGTTACGTTTCAAAACTGAGTATTCCATAGAGTATGTTGATGCGTCGCCTCTACTCTGTGCTTTAAAAGCAGTGAATTCCTTAGAGTTCACTGTAGTTGCCCCGTAGCAGCCGTCCCCGAAACGATTGCCCGTCGAACGACAGGAGGCGGGCCTTGGAGGAGACGGGAGTAGGGAACGGACGCTGCTCGTGGAAGCAGCGTTCGTCGACAGCTCCCTAACTGAGTCGACCTATACTTCGTTTCACCTAACTTCTGGATGCAGCCGAGGCTACAAGCTGATGGGGACAATCGAACAGTATCAAAAGTGCAAGTCACTGGGTTTCCCGTATGCACGATTGGTTGAGCGATGACACCAGCTCGTAGCGTCGACGGCGTTCCGACTTCAAGCGAAACGAAGCAGAGAACGCCGGGCCTTGGTAAAGCGTGCTCACGATTGCCAGACAAAGCACTTTCCATACACGGTGGCTAGACTAGCTCTAAACGCGTGGCTGCTTGCTAAATATCTTCCACTGGGAACGTGAACTCCCGTAATCAAAGTGTTCTCTTGTCAACGCCGAACAATCGAGCCCAGTGTATTTTCGGCTCCCGAACTGACTACACGTCACCGCGCCACTTCAAGCCTTGGAGATTCGATGCCCGCAACAACTCCGGTGACCAGCCCCAAACGGCGCGCTGGTGGTGTTTTATTTATGGCGAAATGAGGGATTCAAATGCACGTTTTTTTTTCAGAGCAGCGGTAACCTTCGTGATCTTTTTTAGAGGAAGGGAACAGTGAGCTTCAAGAGCGGCCAAAGAGCAAACACCTTATATAGTAGAATAAGGAGATAATAAAGTGAGATAATTATAAATTAATACATTGCAGGACACACGTTTAGTAACAGAACAAGGCAAAACCAGTCTGTAGCTAAGTAACTACACATTCGGTGAATATGGGGTCGGTGAAGTTAGCACCTTCCCCAACAAAGTGCAAACCAGTCTTTACGAAACTACATGCCAGAAGCCGAATAGACATTGCGTGACCTATGTGGCTACGACAAAACCTTGGCTATGAGGCTGGCGCTTTATTTTAAAGTTATGAAAACATAAAACTGGTGATCATGAGGATCGCGGCTCGGAAGCATATGTAAGGTAATAAATGCCATGACCTAAAGATCGTAAACAAGAAGTCAAAATTGTTTCTCCTGCATTTTTGCCCCAGAATCAGATCCACTTGTGCACCTGACTAAAAACTAAAGTTGCGTGATATGTGTATTATGAACCTGGCACGACCAGCGGTTGTTTCGCATAAACTTCGCCTTTTTGCAGAAACTAAACAAATAAATGCACGCAACATATAAGGCAGGCTGGAGCGCGCCACGTGGTGTCGCGGTTTCCTTGAGGCTTGACATGTCTCTGGTTAAAGGATCTAGAATACCGCAGGGAAGGCCACTTGTCCTGGTGAGCTTCATTGCGGAAAATAATAAGAAACGATTTATGGATGGGGTCAGTCGGTGCCGTGAGCTGCCCCTGGCAAAGGGTAAGTGTTAATCTAGGGCAAGAGTTGTTCTATCAAGCGAGTTTCTTTTCTTTTTTGCCCCTGTGTTCCACGACCCTAGAAAGGGCGTGCTGCGTCGTGCTTGACGCTTGTGCAACTTCCTTGCTTCGGTTCCGATGGCGAGGACCTCCCGTGTCCTACACAAGGAGGGGTCCAGGAGGAACTCGGAGCACGGGGGGGGGGGGGGGGGGGGGGGGCGAGGGGCGAGGGGCGTGTGCGGGGGAAGCCCGAAGTAGGGAGGAAGGAGCGGCGGTGGGAGCGTGGCCGGGGGCGGCTCAGCAGGGCGCGCTTGCCTTGCAGGTGGGACGAGCGCGTAGCGCCCCGCACTAGAGCCTCCAAGAGCGATCCCCGCGTGGATCAGGCCTTCGTCCCGCCCGTGCCGTGGCGGCGGCTCCCAGCGCAAGACGGCCAAGGTATCGTATCGGGGGAGGCGGCTGACGCTCTGCTCGCTTGGGTGGCTCTCTCTTCTCTGTCCTCTGTCGCCGAACCACCAGCAGCAGTCCCCCGCTAACCGCTCCCACGCCGGTCCACTGACACGCTCTTTCTCTCTTTTTCGGGCTTCCCCCCGCCACGTGACCCTCGGCCCCGAGTCGTTGGCCCAGGGCCCCCGACGCCCAGCCGTGTTCGCTGCTGGTTGGTTCGGCCCCGTCTTTTGTCTGCTCTCTTTCTCTCTCTCGCTACCTATCTGTCCACTGCTCTCACCTTTCTCTTCTGGCACCGCAGTCACCGCTTGAAGCCGACGCTTTGTTGCGCATGATGGACCTTTAGCCATAGGCGAGGCACTTGCCGTGGGGGCTTCCTGGGCACGTGGCTACACGGGTCTCTACAGGTGTCTTGCTTCGAACGGGAGGGCAGCTCGTTGGCTTCCGGCGAACCGCCTTCCCTCTGACAGAGTCTTCTTCCTGAAAGAGGAAAAGCGCTGAAGCAGTCTTCAGAGGCTTCCGGGTTTAAGGGATCGGGAACGACTAATCCCTCTAATACCTCTTGGGCGGTTTTGCATTGATCTGTCGCTGGAAGCCAGGAAAAACGACGCTCACCTAAGGCCTTAATCGTTGGCTTATCCTCACGGGAAAGCTCTTTATACATGAGCTTAGGAGTATCGGTGGCGTTCTGAACATTTATGCAAGCGCAACGTTAACGGTTTTTAAGCCCAGACGTTGTTTTAGCTAATCGTTTTCACGATCCGATTATGCTCTATGGGCGCACTTCATGCACGCTTCGAAGTGGCACGAGCTTCCTCACGAAAGTGATTCGCGGAGAACACGATCTTCAAAACAACTTTTTAATGACAGCACCCTGAAGCCCCCAGTGAACATCGGAGATGCCTGCTACATGAAAAACGTTTTTTTTTTCTTTTTTTTTTTACATTTAGAAGTATGCCGCATGGAGTTCCTCTAACACAAGCCAGTCCCGAATGGTGTTTGCAAAACCCTTGAATCTTAACCTGAATCCATGGTACCCAAATACAATAACTTTTTGTGAATGTGCGGATGAAGCCACATTTAAGCTGAAGTAGGCGCCAATGCCGTGTCTCTAGTACTTCTTTTATAACAAACTTGTGTCTCAATTATCGGGTACAAGTAACGTACAAGTGAGCAACGTACACGCGAAGGTCGTTGACAGGGGCCTGCCATTTAATAAACGCTGAATTGATATTTGATGAAGGTCGAAAGCTGCAATTTTGGTTGGATGATAAAACTCGCCACCTGTTGTATTTGAAATTTGGATTTTTCTTCTAGCTACTGGTGTCACTCTAATAGGACGCACCTTTTTGCGCCTACAGAGATGAATTAAACAAAATAACTGGAGAGAAATTAAGAACAGCCGACACTAAATTGATATTGAATAAATAGTCTTAGTCACGTGAATACGCTTACTCATCTACGAAAACACGAAAGCACTCCAATCATTTACAATTTCGTGTTTCAGTTGAACGTCCGAGCTCTTGTCGCCTTTCGGTCAGTTAGTCCTTGCATTCTCTCTTGACGCAACTGTACGCTGTACAGAATGCGTCCTGCGCGTTGTCGGAACGAACCGTAAAACTGATATTCTAAAGTTCAACGGTCTTCAAGAGTCCTGACATTCTGCTCCCATAGCCGAGGCAGCGCATAATCTTATATAAACCATTCCAGTCATTGCCTCATGCGCACCGTCATCTTTGGTTACTGAGATGAGGAACGTTTTCTGAGCATGCGCAGTAGCTGAGAGACACGAGACACCACGCGCGCGCTCCCAGTCCAGTGGTTCAGTGCTTTTTTTATCAGAATGATGAGGGCCGGAGAAGTGTGTAAGGGAGGTTTCTTCCGGACCCCCAGGAGGTGAAGGAGTTCCTGGACCAGGAGGACTCCCTGGGCGCCGTCGACTTCCGGGCCAACATCGAGCTGAAGACGATCAACCGCTGGGACGTGGGCAGCGTGGAGAGCTCGGACACGTACGCGTCGTGCAACACGCAGCCGTTCACCTCACAGGCGGACCTGAGCGACGGCTCTGGCCTGTACGTGAACCCGCTTCCGGGCGAGCTGAGCGGGTCGTCCGCGGCGCGGCGGCCCCGCTTCTTGCAGGGCATCCGCACCAAGGCCCGCTTCGACCCCATTGACGCCACGCGGGCCCTCAAGCCGGACCCCATCCAGCTGCCCAGGCCGCCCGAGCCCGCCCCGCCGCCTCCCGCCAAGGCGTCGCCCTTCGCCAAAGGTGGGCTCATCAGAATGGGGCGTTTCAACTCCGACCGCAGATTACGCTGCAATTCGATGAAGACCATCGAGCAGGACAGGAAATGCATCGTCACGGCGCTCGTGGTTTTTGTGGGTTTGGCTATAGATGCTTCAAACAAGATTACAACCGCCATTGCTCCCCTTCTCTCGTTTTATATACCTAAATGCCACGGAAACGGGTGTTTACGATCCTCAAAAAGGGCCATTGCTAGAGAGAATGAAAAAAAATAGAATCTAATATGGCAATGAATTCTGTCCTGCTATGGTAATGATGAAGTGAACAAAAACTGAAGGTCGGTTATGGCGGCGCCCATGCACAAAAAGCTAAAGATGGCGGCGCATCCACTGTGCGTCATTGGCTTAGTCGGCGAAAGCAAACGCACGAAGGCTAGGAGCGCCGTGACGACGTGCCCATGCTTGATTGCCTCCATCGAACTGCCACGTCAAACGGAGTATAGTGATCTCCCCAATTTAATCCTAGGTCAGCGTCGCCGCGGCGGTGCGCCGGCGATGACCCCTCGAAAGTGGGCGCGTGTGCGTTGCGTAGCTTCCGTTGACGTCGGCTGCTCGTCTTTTGAATCGCTTCGGAGCACCCGATTCTTCTTCCTTCCTTGAGGAGCTCGTGGCGAAAGGAAAAGGAATGCGCTACCCTGGCTCCGCCATATCATATAGTTACTGTAGGTGAGAGGGAAGTTCGACACCTCCTCATGGACACGCACTACCGCGGTGTTGGATCCTACACGTCACCTAGCGGAGGCCAGCGGCGTGCACAGATTGGACACAATTGCGGCGTCAGCGTTCGGGTAAAAGTCGTCTCCTCAGTGATTGGATGCGAGTCCCGGTCGAACGTTAACGCAGCACTCGCTACCAATCATAGGCAGGCGTCGGCTTCCGTTAGGTGAGGTAAGGAAGATCCACCACTCCGGTATTAGGCAGCTGCATCGTTTTCCTCCGGAATAAGCATCACAGAAGAAAGAGTCGCGTGTTTCTTCTCGTTGAATGGGTGACGGATCGTTTTGCGTTAAACATCGCGCACAAACGTTATACAGCGTGTACTCCCTTACCCCCAAAACAACAACAAACAACAACGAACAATAACAAGCACAACAAGCACTACAGCTAATGACAAACAACAACGAACAATAACAAAAAAAGCAGACAACAACATTTACAGTGTTTTAGAGCGCAGCTCTTAGGGGCCCGTTTCCAGCCTGAGCGGCGTCGGCGTCGGCGTAACCGGGGGGGGGGGGGGGAGTCACGTGACCCCCCTTCGAGGTCACGTGACCCCCCCCCCCGAGGTCACGTGACCCCCCCCCCCCCCCCCGAAGTCACGTGATTCCCCGAGGTCACGTGACCCCCCTCCCCCGAGATCACGTGACCCCCCCGGGGTCACGTGACTACCCGCGGGTGACGTGACCCCCCTCAGCACCCTTCCCTACTCCTCCTCAAGAGCTGCGCTTCAATTCGGCGTTACAGGGATTTGTAAACGGCTTTCATTTTTTTCTTTTCTTTTTTGCCTCAATAATAAATTACGTATTGCCGAACGATAATTCTCCGCCCAAATGTAGCGCTAGCGGTTGGAGCCAGATTCCTAAGTTTCAGCACTAATCATTACTCTTACTCAAAAGTGGTAAGTGATTTTCTCATACGTTTAATGAGAAAATGGAACCCACTTTTACCTGTTTTCAGTAACTGGTTGTGGTCCGCCATTCATCCATTGAAAATTTCAAAAAATTATGTTAGGGCTGAAACTTTGACATCTATTTCGGGCTGTTAGCTCTGCATTTGGGCGGAAATTAAATGACCGCTCTACAACGTGTAATTTATTTTCGCGGTAAAATAATCTAAATGTTTATGTTTAATTATGCACTCTTTGAAAAAAACAAAAGGTATAAGTAATGAACATGAAAAGAGAAGGGATACATGTCTTCAAGAAGTGTTTGATTGCAATCATCTCTTTTCAATAGAACAATGTTGTAAGAAAGTCTTTCTTTGGGAGTTGTGCCACTTTAAAATTCTCCCTAAAATCTATTGGAAGTCGGCAGCTGATACAGCCTTTGAATCTTAACACTAGGGTGGAGAACGCAATAGTTAGGCAGGTGTAAAAAGGGCCCCAAAATGTAAAAAAATATATTAGAAAATATACAAAGTGATTATTCAACGGGCTAACCTGTGGTGATTCATCGAATGTAATTGCTTGCCACCCGATGCTATGAGCGCCGCCTGTCTTTCAAACTTCTTTCTTAACTGCGAAGCAGAAGTGTCAGTAGAAGATTTCTTTGTATGCGGGTCTTATCACGACAAAAGACAAGCTCTACTAAACAAACTACATCAAACAGGTGCGTGGCCTTTCGATATCCCCAAGGTGCTCTGCGCTTGGATCACGATATACAAAAGGAGTCCGCTTTAATCGCGTTCTCTGTTAATACGAGCCTATCGTCACTCTCTCGAGCGTTTGCATGCGCGTTAAAATTGTTTTTATCATCATCGCTCTATAAAGTTTTATTATAACGATAATGTTATTGCCCTCTTTCGTGGCTAATATTTTTTCAACCTTTCCTTAACCTCAGCACAGAGGGAGAACCTAGGACCAACCTCCAGGCTAACCTCCCACATTTCATTCGTCAATATCAGTCACCCAAAACAATTGTCTTAGTGCGTCTGTGATAAACGTTTGTAGGCCCAATTTTCCGGTGGGAAGAGGTCAACAGAATCGATAAGCAAGACGAACAGGCTTCGTTTTCAATGACACACAGTCCATTTGCGACGGATGATAAAAGGAGAAGAATTTCGAGAAGGGAAAATCTGCAGGCGAGCTGGTTAGGTAACATCTCATTCCAAACCCCGAGACACGAATAAAGAAAATAACGGACAAGACGACACGAAATCTCAAAGGAGAAGGAGAAATAAAGGAGTCCCGCAACTGGAAGTCGCCCCCCTCTTGCCCCTCAAATTGGCGCAGCGACTGAACGCAGCAAAACATTACCCAAATAAAAAGGTCGTGTTGAACCTTCACCCTAAGGAGGCATGATAGGACACGAGTGTTGCGTCACCATTCGGCTCAGGCTGATGTTTAATGAGTGAGGACACGAGTGAGTGAGACACTTACATACCCAAATCACTCCGACATCTCCTTAGTTGCTTGGCCTATTCATAACCAATATGCGTACATCATAATTGAAAGGAGGAGTAATAAGTACAGACATAAGCTATCATCACGGTATCTATTTGTGGCTTTAAAAAAACACATTGCATAAAAAAAACGCTCAACCAGTGTCTCTTTCAAGACATTACAGCTAACGACCTGGACACCTTTAGACAGAAAATCTACAATTTTGATTGAGTAAAATGACGCAGATCGTGCTTATAATATTTTCTTATCTAAAGTGACGCTTGGGTTTTGATGTTTCTTTCGTCTCGTAACTTCCTCACACAGCACCGAAGACAGCGGGCACGATCTTTACGTTCACTAAGCGCGTCAAAGGGCCTCCACGTGCGATGCACAGGAAAACGGGGTGCGGCAGGTGCCGGAACTGCATAACTTCGAGCTTTGACACGGCGTGGCGCCACCTTCGTGTAGGGCTTGGTATGGTTTCGTGCGCATTCATGTAAACGTTGCCGCGTCGGCATCGTTCGAAGAACGAGTGGAGTCGATGCGCTGAAGTCGCTTTCATGTAAACGAGTCTAACGTCTTCAAAGCGGCGGTGCAACGATTTTCGATCTTCGACCAAATAATTGTGAGTGTTGGTGTCGGTCATTTCTTAATCCAAGAAGAGAAAACCATTTCTGCTTCCCTGAACTAGTTTTTATTAAAAAAGAAAAAAAAAAAGAAAATGTCAAAGTACGAAATTTTCGGTGCCTCTCAACTCGTGCCTCGTGGACAGGGCACTTGCGAGCCACGTGCTTAGTGACATCTCTGTGGGATCATGTAACTTTCGGATGGGCTCTTTGACCTTTGTTTATTTCGTCTTCCAGCGCTCCTGCTGCGATTCTAAACACCGTGTCAACCGTGTTCTCGGCCAACACGGCGTCATCATATGTTGGTCTCTGACGGGGTTTTCGCGCGGTAGACGATGATAGAGGATATTTTGGGTTGCGAACAGGGGACTCCGGTTCGGGCACAACGAAACACCGGATCCGGTAGACAGCGCCCGTGATCGCGGCGACCGTACGTTGAGAAACACGAGAACCCAAAAGTTCAGACTCTAATCTGCTCCTCGAACAAAGCAAACTGCTACGTTACTCGAGACGTTACCGAAACTCTTTAACCTCTGTACTATCGGGAAAAAATGGAAATGCGAACAGAGGAGCGCGTGGTTCGCGCTACAGGCTGCCCCGCCTGAAAGTGAGCCTCGGGACGAGGGTGCGTGGCCTACTCCCATGTGTTTAAGCCCTTCGCTCGGCGCTCCCCAAGCTTCGGCATTGCGCCTCTCAGTGCGCTGAAAGCTATCACGGCTATCTTTGCTCGTTCAGCGCGTGCGGCGCGAGGAAGCTCGCCGCTAGTAGCAGCTAACGTGCGCGCTGGCTGCTATGCCGAAGCTTGGGGAGCGCCGTACCACGTCCACTCGATCCCCCCTAGTCCTAATCGAGTGGCCGTGGCCGTACAAATATTTACACAAGGTGTGCTCTTGGCACAGAACGGAACATCGGCAGACCGTTGAGTA